AGGTAAATTTTCACCGCCTTTGGGTAAATGCCAAGGAGCTTAGCTGCTGGATCATATCCTAAGAATATGTTTAGTTTTGTAAGAAATCACCAAACTAGGCCTGGTTGTGTAGCTCAGTTGGTTAGACCTTCATCCTAATATGCCAAGATTGTGAGTTCAATCCCTGGTCAGGCACATACAAGAATCAACCAATGAATGCATAAATAAGTGGAACAACAAATCGATGTCTCCTCTCTCTCTCTCTCTCTCTCTCTCTCTCTCTCTCTCTCTCTCTCTCTCTCTCTCCCTCTCCCTCTCCCTCTCCTTCTCCCTCTCTCTCTCTCTCTCCCTCTCTCTCTCTTTCTCTCCTCTCTCCTCTCTCCTCCTCTTTCTAGATTCAATAGGGGGGAAAAAAAAACTTAAAAAAGAGATATTAAAAAAAAGAAAGAAATCACCAACCTACCTCCCAAAATTGAACCTGCAACTCTTCGGTGTGGCCAATGCTCTAGCCACAGAGACACATCAGCCAGGGCCCCGATGCCCTTAAGGAGGGAATGTTCTCTTTTAGGGTCCACACACTCCTGTAACTTGCCTGTTCATATCCTGTTTGTCCCTTTACTTTTGGTTGGCTCTTTTTCTTGCTGATATTTGGGTTTATTATTATTTTTAATGGGATGGTTTGAGAATTTGAGTGTCATCCTTGTGCAGGGACCACACCAATCCTCTCTGTATTCCAATTTTAGTATGTGCTGCCAAAGCGAGTATGGGAATTCTTTCTTAAGGCTCACTCAAAAAAAAATAAAAAAAAATCTCCCTACTTGTTAGTTATTTCATGTAGTAGCACATGGTGCTTTTTTTTTTTTTTTAAATCCTCACCCACAGATATGTTATTTTTAAAAAAAATATATTTTATTGATTTTTTACAGAGAGGAAGGGAGAGAGAGAGAGAGCTAGAAACGTCGATGAGAGAGAAACATCGACCAGTTGCCTCCTGCACACTCCCCACTGGGGATGTGCCCGCAACCAAGGTACATGCCCTTGACTGGAATCGAACCCGGGACCCTTCAGTCCCCAAGCCGATGCTCTATCCATTGAGCCAAACTAGTCTTGGCATGTGTTATTTTTTTTATAGAGAGGGAGAGAGGGAGAAAGAGAGAGAGCGAGAGAGAGATCATTTCCTTCCATAGGCACCCTGACCTGGGATCGGCCCTGCCAACTCTAGGTGCATGGGATGACATTGCAACCAACCGAGCCACTAGGCCAGGGCTGCTTCTTTTTTTGTGGCTGAACACTGTTCCATTGTGTGGATGGACCACAATTTGTCCTCACCGGTTGATGGTTTCCATCTTTTGGCTGTTATGAATGGTGCTACTGTGAACATTCATGCAAAATATTTTGAGTCCCTGTTTTCAACTGACTCATAGGTAACTATTTAACTTTTTGAGGAGCTGCCAAATTGTGTTCCACAGTGTTAACCATTTTGTTCCCAGCAATGTAAGAGCGTTGCTCCAGTTTTTCCACATCTTCACCAACACCGGTTACTTCACTTTTTGCCACATTCATCCTGATGGATGCGAAGTGGTGTCTTGTGGTTGTGATTTACATTGAACATCATTTGATTTGTTGAACATCTTTTGTGTGCTTGTTAACTATTGGTTAACTATTGGTTATCTTTGGAGAAATGCCAATTCAAGTCCTTTGCCTATCTTTTCTGTTGTTCGTGAACTGTAAGAGTTCTTCGTATTCTGGATACTAGGCCCTTTTCAGGCATAAGGCTTTCAAGTACTTTCTCCTGGGTTGCGTGCTGTCTTTTTGCAAATAGCCTTTAAAATACTTTTAAAAAATTAAATGTATTGGGGTTTAATTGGTTAATACAACCATATAGGTTTCAAGTGCATAATTCTGTGACACATTATCTGTATATTGCATTGTGTCCACCACCCAAAGTCAAATCTTCTGTCACCATACACTCCACCCCCTCATCCCTCTTTCCTTCTGAAAACCACCATACTGTTGTGTCTGTGAGTTTTTATCTTATTTGTCCATTTGATGCTTTCAGTTTTATTTTTTAAATGTATCCTTTTTTTCAGAGAGGGCGAGAAACATCAATGATGATAATCATTGATTTGCTGCCTCCTGCACCCCATCTATTGGGGATCAAGCCCACAACCCAGGCATGTGCCCTTGATCAAAATTGAACCCAGGACCCTCAGTCCATAGGCTAACGCTCTATCCACTGAACCAAACCAGCTAGGGCATGCTTTTAGTTTTAGATCCCACATGAGTGAAATCTGCATATCCCTTTCAAATTGTATTTATTAACTAAAGGCCTGGTGCACAAAGTTCGTGTGTGCCCCTCAGCCCAGCCTGCCCCCTCTCCAATCTGGCACCCCTCATGGGATGTCTAACTTCGGTAGGATTGGACCTAAACGGGCAGTTGGATATCCCTCTCATAATCCAGGACTGCTGGCTCCCAACTGCTTGCCTGCCTGCCTTCCTGATTGCCCCTAACCTCTTCTGCCTGCCAGCCTGATCACCCCCTAACATTTTCCCCGCCAGCCTGATTGCCCCTAACTGCCCTCCCCTGCAGGCCTGGTCCTTCCCAACTGCCCTCTTCTGCAGGCCTAGTCACCCCCAACTTCCTTTCCCTGCAGGTGTGATCACACCAACTGCCCTCCCTTGCAGGCCTGGTCCCTCCCAACTGCCCATCTTGTGTTCACACGGGGGCAGCCATCTTGTGTTGGAGTGGCAGTCAATTTGCATATTACTTTTATTATTCAATAGAAAGGATATTTGTCACACTACACTTCAAAAACTAGAACAGTGACAGTAATTTATATCCACCGGAATCCCATTCCCCTGCTTCCCCAGATCAAAGGTAACATATCAGTCTACTGAATTGTCTGTCTATATTTTCTTAAATATAGTAGTATTCCCCTAACCATGGTTTTGCTTTCTGAGGTCTGTTACCCATGATCAATTGCTGTACAAAAACACTAAGTGGAAAACTCCAGAAATAAACAAAACAGTATACAGAGTATTCCACAAAAATGTACACACACTAACAGCTGACAGCTCAATTTTGAAAATGAAATGCATTTTAATAAACACAGCCTTTATAATTATTCCAAATGTGTGTATGTTTTTGGGAAATACTATAAACATAGGATTTGGTACAATCTGTGGCTTCAGGCTTCTGCTGGGGATCTTGGATAAGGGGGGACTACTGTAGTTCTATTAGACATTTATGCCTAAACAATACATCATTTTAAGATGCTCTTAACTTTATAAAATCGTCAACAATTTTACTTGATGGTTCTCCAAGTGATGTACCCGTTTACACTGTCCCCAGTAATATCTGATTCTTACCGATCCTCACTTCTCCAACACTTGCTTTGTCCAATGTCTTCTTTTTTGCCAATTAAATGGGTCTAAAATGGTATCTGTCTTGATTGGCATTATCCTGATCATGAATGAGATTGTCTTCATGTGTTTATTGGTCATAAATGTCTTCTCTTCTGTAAGTGTGCACTGTGTATTTTTCCCTATTTTCTCTTTAGGTTGGTTGTCCTTTCTTCACTGATTTGTAGGCGCACTAGGGAGCTCTTGATTCTCTTTAGAGATGAAGATGAAATGCACCTGTCCTGCCAGCGAAAGCCCAGCTCCCCTCAATGGCACGTGCCATAGCAGCTCCCTTCCCCTGCAAACATCACCACCAGAGGGCGCTGTCACTTTCTGCCAGGATAGCTGGTGAGAAACAATTTGTCATTTTCATCTGCACTTTAAAAAAAAAAGTTGAGCATCTTTTTTATTTGCTGCAAGGCTAAATTGCACCTCTCCCCTCTGAGTAACCTGTTCATCTTCCCATGCCTCCTCCTCTGAGGACCTGCTTTTCTCTCTCAATATTTACTGCAACATTCCTACTTGATAACCCTTTCACACCCCGGTTTTTCCCACTTTGCCATTTCTCAATTTTCTCTCTCCCCCACCCTCCCAATATACTTGCTCCTCACAAATCCTTCTGACACTTCATTCATCCTCTCTCCAATGCCTTTCCCTCCCATGACCCTGATGTCCCTTGTCCCCATACCCCTACCCCTCTGCTCTCTATCTGTTCCTCACCCTCCCATCTTTCTAGTCCCTCTTTCCATCATCTTAAACACCCTTTTTCTTGAGTCTCTTTCCTCTCCCTCCACCCTCATCTCTCAGTGGAGACAAAACAGAGACCTTCCTCCTCTCTGCCCCCTATCCACACTCCATTCTCTCCCGTTGGTTTGCACAGAGGACACGACCTGCATGCCTTCTCTTCTCGCCTCCCTGCTCCTGTCCCTCAGCCCAGTCTTGACAGGGTGTCTCCCCTGGCTTCTCCTGTCCCTCTCCCATGGCCGCCTCTCCTAGCCATTTCCTCTCTCACACCTGTTCCTCTTTGACCGTTTTCCTCCTCTCAATGACTTGTCCTCCATCTCTAACCCATCTCCTCTCCCCCTTGTCCCCATGCAGTGCCCTCCTCTTCCATTTCCTACTTCTTTAGTTTCTGCCACTCCTCCTCTTTGTTCTCCTGAGGGCAGCATGTTCTGGCCCTGCATGGGGCAGGCTGGCTATGATTTCGGGGTACGGGACACAGCCAGCCTGTGTCAGCAAGGGAAGAGGGAGCATCTTCCTGTACAGCTCCGAAGAGAAAGTGACCTTGCCCAGGCTGACCTGGGGAGGCCCATGGGGGCGGGGTTCTGCCCGCACTGAGCAAGAGCTGCAAGGACAGGTATGAACCTCCCTTTGCCCTTTTGCTTGGCCTCTGACCTCTGAGACCTCAGCTGTAAGCCGGGTAAGAGGCTGGCTGAGGCTGCTCTGGGTGGCGGGCGGTGGCTCACGCTCACGAGCTGCCTGTTGTCTGGGTCTCGTGGGGCTGGGCGTGTGTGTCTCGGGGTGGCAGTGAGTGTCCTGTCAGCGGGGTATGCAAACAGAGTCCGGGCCTCCTCGGGCCTCCTCGGAGCTGGGACAGGGACACAAACCGAGGCAGAGAATTTGGCTCTGTTCAAGTTTTATTGTCCCCCTTACTGCCCGGGGATGGCTCCGGCGGGCTGCAGCACCCCGCTGCTGCCCGCCCCCAGCTCTGTCTAGTGGCCTGAGGGGAGGCGGGAGGGGAGGCAGAAGGAAGGGGCTGGAGACAGATCATCAGCCCTCCTCCCGCCCTGGGTGGGGCCCTCTCTGTCTCCACAGAGCTGGCCCAAAGGCCACCAGTCCAGGCGCCCCACAAATCCAAGGCACTGGGGCGGCCCTCACAGCCAATCCTCGGCCAGCTACGAGGCCACCGTGTGCCCATTGGCCAGCCGCCCGGCCGCCCGGCTCCGAGGGCCGTCCGTGGGGGCTGCCTGGGGACCCTGAGCTGCTCCATTCTTGAGCTGCGGGTGCTCCTCCTCTTCGCTGGAGGCCGACTCCTCCGCGTCACTGCGGATGTCCTTCTCCATCTGGGGAACAAAGAGGGGGAACAAGGAGGGGGCTCAGGCTCGGCGGGCCCCGGGGTGGCGCACAGGAGCCCACCCTCGCGCGGCCCTACCTGGCCTTTCTTTACGAAGCTGCGGATCATACGGAGGATGAGGCAAGACCAGAACACGTGCAGCAGCTGCAGTATCGCCAGGAGCGTGTTGAAGAAGTAGTAGCCGAAGAAGGGGCCGGAGTTGGCAATGGACTCGTAGTACGTGGTATAGAGGATCCTGGGGCGGGCAGACGGGTGGGAGGGAGGGAGCAGCTCTCACTTGTGTGACCGTCCCTACTCCAGAACCTTCCATGGCTCCCCGTGGTCCCCAGACTGACGCCAATGCTTCAGCTGGGCATGGAAATGCCCCCTCACTGGGTGGTGAGCGGGTCACACAAGCTTACCGACTGGCCTGTGCACAACCACGAACCCCGAGGGAGCAGCACTTTGTATCCCCACTGCTCTGCTGGGGTCTTTCCACACCTTCCCTCCTCTTCTCAGGTCCCTCCCCCCTACCCCCTCCCCCCCCCAGCAGGCTTTCGCCTCCCGCCACCCTCCCCCAGACCAGCTTGTAGGGAGAGCTGCCTGGCTCATGCAGCGGGCCCAGCTGGCCCTCCCTTCTCCCCGGAACCCTTTCCTCCAATACCTCAGGGACCCACTCCCCCACCCCCACTTCATGCTGCTCCCTCTGCATCTCCCTTGCAGGCTCCCCTTGGCCAGCAAACACCAGAGGCTCCAGCACTGGGACCCTGTCCATACCTGGCCCCTGGATGACCCTGTCAGGTCCCATGGCTGCAAACACTCTCCAATTGGTGTGCCCACTGTTTCCTCACGTCTTTTCTGGGGGTCTCTGGAGGCCCCTCAACCCCAACACAGCCAGAGCCGAGCTCCTGATCCTGACATGACAACTCTGAGCTCATAACCATCTCCTGACCCTGAGTCATCTCTGAGTCCACCCACTTCACCTACGCTGGTCTGGTCCCATCACTGCTCCCCTGGACCAGGGCAGTGGCCTCTGCCCTGGCTCCCAGGCTCCTGGGCCAGGGTTGGGATGGGAGGTAAGGGTCAGGGTGTTGGTTCTGGGGCTCTCACCAGCTATTCACTCTGCAGCCACCAGAGGGCGCTTGTGAGCACCCGAGTCAGGTCCCCTCCCTCCTCTACTCAGAATTCTTCACTTCGCTTGGTGTAAAAACCCGCACGACCAGTCTGGCCCCTACCTGCCCTCACAACCTCCCTCCGGGTGTCTAGCTCACTCTGCTCCTGTCACGTGGGCCTCCTTGCTCTCAGGCCCAGTGCAGCCTCATCAGGGCTTTTGCCTGTGGTGTTCCCTCGGCTCTTCTGCTGTGATCAGCACTGCCCTCTCCCTCACCTCCCTCCAGGCTTCCTGGAGGAGCGCTGTCAGCGACACCCCTGACCGGCCAAGAATCCACACTTCCTGTGCCTGACTTCACTTCCTCTTTAACACGATCCCACTCCCTCACACGCTTTCTTTCCTACTTGCCTGCCTTATTTCATTCCCCCCGATGCCAGCTCCATGTGAGCAGAGACCTTTACATCGCTCCCTCTGCTGGGAGAGGCCCAGCAAGTGAACTGGGCAGACCTGAGCGAGCTGGGGTCCGACCTGCCATCTGCTCCACATTCTGGGCCCATAGGGGTGAGGACGGAGCCCGGCTTTCCGTCCCTTTGCCTCGGGCCCTTGGCACGTGCAATGCCCGGGGCTGGGAGCACAACACCCTCCCAGCAGCACCCCTGCGGCCCCGGTCTGGCTCCCAGCTGCGCCCACGCCCCCGGTCTGACTCACTGCGTGGGGAAGAGCACGAGGCGGGTGTAGAAGAAGACCACGGAGAAGAGCAGGAAGAGGGTGTTGCACACGCGCCGCCGGTGCGTGTAGTTGAACATCTTACAGGCCTGGCGGAGGGAGACAGCAGAGGGGGCTCAGGCGGGGTGAGGCGGTGGGGGTGGGGGAGAGCCAGGTAGGAAAAGGGGCCTGGGGCAGAGCCTCATGTCCAGGCACTGCCTGGAAAGGGACAATGTGGGTCTCTGAGTGAGAAGCTTCTGCTACCAGAATGAAGGGGGGGCCTCACCTCCTAGGAAGACGGAGGGTCAGGGACACAATTCCTAGAAGCCTGAGTAGGCGGGGCCTCCTGTCCCGGGAGGCTGAGGGGCAGGGCCCGCTCCGGGGGCACCGGGGACTCCAGGGGCACCGGGGAGGGTGGGGGTGCGGAGGGGGCGGGCTGGGGCTGGCCCACCTCCAGCAGGTAGTCCGCGGCGTCGTGCAGCAGCAGCACCAGCGAGCCGATGCGCAGCAGGTTGGCGCTGTAGGAGAAGGTGATGAGGATGATGGTCACGAGGTGGTGCGCCACCTGCTCCTTGAAATCCTGCGAGAGACAGCGGGTGACCCCCGGGACCAGGCCGGCCGGCCCTCTCGGGGGCTGGCTGCACCACGCTTCCCGCCCGGGGTAGCGGAGGGTCCCCAGTGGGGGCGAGGCCGTCCCTCCGCACCGCCCTGGATGCCGAGCCCCCGGACTCACTGCCCGCGGGAACCTGCCGGTCCTCACCTTGCGCCGGATGTCGAAGGGCAGCGTGATCAGCAGCGAGATGTAGAAACTCAGCTCCAGGAGGTACCAGCAGTACAGGGCCGGCTTCAGGGGCTGCGGTCGGGGGTGGACAGGGTTAGCTGAGGGAGGGGAACTCTCAGGCCCCTCCCCGATTCGCTCAACATCAGGACACGGAACCCCAGTGAGCGAAGAGGTGTGAGATCGTATCCCCGGAGGTGACCGAGGGCCCCTCCTGCTCCGTCTCCTGCCTGGAGCCCCTCTGCGTTCCGCCGGGGAGGCAGGACAGAAGCAGGCTGGGAGGGGGACGGACTGTCATGGCCAGGTGTGGTCCTGTGGACTCTGGCTGCCCCAATCCTCTCTCCAGCCCCGGCACCCGTCACTCACCTGGTTTGGGTAGTTTTCCCAGCACATTGCTGGCCTCCACAGCCATGACTCCTGCGGGGGGTGGAGGGGGGAGCACACAGACATCTGAAGCTGCCGGAAGATCAGACCCCAGGTCCCCATCCCAGGCCTGGGGGATGGGGAACTGGGGTCTGGGACCTCCTTGGCCCTTGAGGTGCTGCTGTCACTCATCTCTGATCTTTTTTTTTTTTTTTCTTTCTGCACACCTGCAGGGAATTGAGCCTGCGACCTAGGCATGTGCCCCGACGGCGACGGGAGTCAAACAACCACCTCTGGGTGCATGGAACGATGCCCAACCAGTGAGCAACAACAGCCAGGCCGCTCCGCTCTGATCTTTCCCGCCTGGTCACGTCTCTGCTCTCACCACGGTGTCTGCCAAGTTCTCCTCCCTCTGCTGTGCACAAGCTTCCCCCACGGCTCACCCCCTCCACCCGCTCGCCCCCAAGCCGGGCCCAGTGCCCGGCAGGTGCCTGTGGGGCAGGGGAGGGGCAGGAGCAGCCAGAACACTCACGTGGTGGAGGACAGAGAGGCCGCCGATGAAGGAGCACAGATAGAAGAGAAACCGCCAGCTGCGGACAGACAGGAGCCCTGAGGCGGCTGCTGACCCGGCGGACCGCCCCTCCCCGGGCCCTCCCCTCCCCCACACCTCCCGAGCCCTGCCCTCCACCCCCCGCCCCCCACCCCTCACCCCCTCACCCCGGGCTGACCTGGCCTCACAGAACTTCTTGGTCAGGCAAGGCCGGTCCTGGTTCCGGCGTCTTCGGAACCAGCGCTGGGTCTGCCGCAGCGTGAGGCCGCACTGCGTGGCCAGGACAGCTATCCGAGGCTGGGACAGGGGCGAAGGGGGCCGGGGTCAGAGAGGTGCGCCCCATCCTGTCCCAGGAAAGCGGGACCCAGCTCTGCTATTCCCTCCCCTGCAGCCCCAGACCTCACCGGCGATGCAGATGGGGGCCTTGTGGGGTGTGAGGTAGGGCCCCCCAATAAGCCAGGCCCCTGAGAACCCAGCCCTGCTCACAGGACAGGCAGATGACGGAGGGGGCTGGGATTAAGGAAGGGGCTGGGGCGTGGGGGCGGCTCCCCAGAGGTTTTCCTGAGCCCCCCACAGAAGAGAGCGCTCTCAGCCGCTCCAGGCGGGCAGCGGGGGCCTTGTGCGGACCCTGCCCCGCAGAGGGGGCTGGTCACAGGCTCTCTGTTCTGCAGGAGCTGAGCTCCCCTGCCCCCCCACCCCCCAGGGTAGGAAGACCTCTTCCCCTCTTCCCGCTCAGGACCCAGCCCGACCCTGGAAGTCACATGACTGCAGAACCCCCAGAACAGCCAGCCCTTCCACTCTTCCCCAAACGAGAGACCCCCTCCAATCCCCCTCTCCAGGCCCAGGAGCTGCCTGGTGGCCAGCCGAGCTCCCTGATAAGGGGCCGAGTGGAGTGGGCGTGGGGGGGGGGCTGCCCTGGGCTTTCTCTGTCCCCGGGAAGCGGGCCACATGCCCTCCGCAGCCCCCGCCCCCCAGCAGCCCCCAGGCAGACGGGACGGAGGGTTGCAGGGTGCTCACCCTGTCGGGTTTCCATCCTTCCAGGAGGAAGTACTTCTCCAGTGTGGCGTTGGGCTCCACCGGCCTCCTGGCCTGGTTCTGCACACCCAGCCACCGGCTCAGGGGCAGGCCGACGAGTCTGGGTGCAGGGACACAGGGCTTGTCAGCCAGGTGAGACATGCTAAGGCGGGGAAACTGAGGCCTGGAGGGGCCAGGACATACCTTGGGGCCCTGGAGGAGAGCTTGGCTGCTGCTTTAAACGGAACGTAAGAAAGGCAGCTGGGCCGAAACCGGTTTGGCTCAATGGATAGAGCGTCGGCTTGGGGACTGAAAGGTCCCGGGTTCGATTCCGGTCAAGGGCATGTACCTTGTTTGCGGGCACATCCCTAGTAGGGGGTGTGCAAGAGGCAGCCAATCGATGACTCTCATCGATGTTTCTCTCTATCTCTCTCCTTTCCTCTTTGTACAAAATCAATAAAATAGATTAAAAAAAAAAAAAAAAGGCAGCTGGACTGGTCTTCAGAATTGAGGTGTGGTGAGTTTTGGGGGTACCAAAGCACCTTCCTTCAATCTAATCCCAAACCAGGGGTCAGAGTCCTCTCACTGCCTGTCTCATGGTGGCCTACATCCTGGTCTGGCCCCCACCAGGCTGGGGCTATCCCCTCCCCCCGCCTGCCCTCCCTGACTCCAGGGTGGACGCTTGGAGGAACTGGACTCTGATCAATCCCCTCACTGCCCACTAGGGGGCTCCTCAGGCCGGGGAGTCAGGACTGAATTTCCCATCTATTGTTCTAGTATTGAGGCTTCATTTGGGGAAACTGAGGCTCAGAGCAGCCCTGCAAGGAATGCATCCCAGACTCAATCATGATGGGAGGACAGCACGCACTGACATATGTTGAGGGCTTACGATCTGTCAAGCACTTAACCCTATGCCATCCCCGAGTCCTGGGACAAAGGCTCAGGTCAGAAATGTGCCCGAGGTGACACTGTGGGTGGAAAACCTGGAATTCAAATTCGGGATTCACTTTCCCTTTAATGAAGGGGAAAACCCTGCCTTCTACCCACTGCCCTTGGCAGCCATCGGTGCCTTTGGGATGTGGTAACGCTTCCACATCAGTCGGGGCCATCAGTCAATGGGGCCATCAGTCAATGGGGCCATCTGTCAATGGGCCATCAGTCAATGGGGCCATCAGTCAATGGGGCCATCAGTCAATGGGGCCATCAGTCAATGGGGCCATCTGTCAATGGGCCATCAGTCAATGGGGCCATCAGTCAATGGGGCCATCTGTCAATGGGCCATCAGTCAATGGGGCCATCTGTCAATGGGGCCATCAGTCAATGGGGCCATCAGACAATGGGGCCATCTGTCAATGGGGCCATCAGTCAAATACGCAAGCCTCCCTTGGGGAGCCAGCAGTGAACCTGGGCACACCTCTCCAGCACGCCCCACCACTATGGAAAAGTAGACTTCCCATCAAGGACTGGCTAACGTGCCTCCCAGAATCCCACAGGCTCTCCTGGCCAACCCTCTGTGTGGCCTCACGCAGGCCCCCGGACCTCTCTGTGCCTCCCTTTCTTCTGTCCGATGGGGGTGGCAACAGCAGTGTCGCCTCTCAGGGCGGCAATGAGGGCAAAGTGGGTTAAGACACATCAACTGTCTTAGCGGCTGGCACAGAGGAAGTGCTCAAAGGGTGCCTGTGAGATAAATTCACCACTGGGTCCCCCGTGTCCGAGGAGCCCGTATCCAGGAAGCTCCTGATGCGGGAAGAGAGAAAGATGCTCCCACGTCCCTGTGGCTGGGGCTGGACTGGGGGGGGGGGGGACCCCAATGCGGCTGAAGGGGGTGAAGGGCTCTGTGGTGGGAGGGGCAGGGCAGGCTTCCCTGGGACCCAGCCTCAAAGGAGCCGCAAAGGAGGGTGTGCAAACCAGGGATGGGTGAGAAGCGGAGGAAGCGCATGTGGAGAAAGGAGAGGGAGAGGGATCCACACCTGGTAAGGCAGGTCTAGGAGTTGTGAGCACAGCACTGGTCCCAGGGGAAAGGGCGGGACTTCCCGGGACAGGGGGAGGGAGCCTCAGAGAGATGCCTAACCCAGGAGGACACCCAGGGAAAGAGGGAGAAGCCCAATTCTGAGCAGCGTCTGGGTCATCTGAGAGATGAATGAACATCTACAGTAGGGGTGTCGAACTCAATCAGAGAAGGGGCCAAAATCTAAAATCCAGCCTAAATCGCGGGCCGAATGGTTTACTGAACAGTCATAAACTGTCGTTGTGATGGAAACGCAGCGGAGTGCAGTGATGACAGCGCGGTGCGGGCCACATTGCAAGGCCTGGCGGGACGGATTTGGCCCGCGGGCCTTGTGTTTGACACATGTGGTCTACAGGGTTTGGCAATGGGGAGCGGCGGGTGCCAGGCTGAGGAGACGGGGTGAGGAGAGAGAATCCCAAAGGGAGGCCTAGGCTCCCTCCTTTGGCTGAAAGGGGCAGGAGGAGGAGGGGGGAGAGGAGCAATGGGGAACCAGAGAGGGTGAGGGACTGGCTTGCCCACAGAGGAAGAGGAGAAGGGAGTGGACCGGAGCTTCCCTGCTGACTGACGGACCAGCCTCTGCAGACCTGCCCTTGGCCAGCAAGTGGGGCACGTGCCCACCGTGTCCTGAGGACGCTAGCACAGCCGACTAGGGCTGCAGGCAGAGCTGCGATACGACAGCCACCAGAGACCAGAAGGAACGTGGGTGGTGGCAGCTGGGGGCAGGACGGAGGGAGGGGCAGTGTGGCCCAAAGCCAGAGGCGCCTCAGGACAGAGCCCGCAGCGGGTGGTCGCTCAGGACCGCAGCGGGCACTCACCTCTCGAAGGTGAAGCGCAGGGCGACCAGGGCCAGCGCCAGGGGCAGGGCTGCCAGCAGGTCCTGGGGGTGGGCGTAGACCAGGCCATCCCGGTCCTCCAGGTCAGCCCACGTGTAGTTGGGGGGCAGCCAGAAGCGGTCCTGCCACAGCCACTCGTTCAGACTGGACCACATCCTGCGGACAGACGGGGTGAGGGGAGTTCACCGTGCGGTGGGCGAGGCCGGGCGGCCCCCCACCCGGCCGTGCCCCCGCACCTGCTGCCTGGAGCTTATTCCAGCCAGTGTTAGCGGAGCTCGGTCCGGTGTCTTCAGACAGATGACCCGATCGCTCCGAACCTCAAGTTCATCTGTAAAACAGGGACAGCGATTCCCACCGCTCAGCGGGGCCTGGTCAGGCACACAGGCGCTCAGCCTGGTGCCCACCGACCTCTGGCAGCACGGCCGATGACAGCAGTGGCCACTCTGCACTTGGCAGACAAGACAACGATGGACGAAGTTAAGGAAGTAGGGTCACGACCTCAAGTTGTCAAATGTCGGGAAATGCAACCCAAATACCAAAAATGCAAGGAAACCTGTAACTGCCTTGCTGGTTACCCTTCCCAAGATGGACCCCCTATGCCTATGAGGAATGAATGTCGCCGTCTCCTGCGCTCCCCCAAACCATGGTGGCAGCTGGGCGAGAACCAACAGCAAGACGGAGCTCCCGGGAACGGAACAGGAGCTAAGGGGGACCAGCCCCCCCCCGCCGGGCTACATGGGACCAGCTCATCTGCAGACCCCCCTCCCCCTGCCGGGCTACACGGGACCAGCCCCATCTGCAGACCCCGAGTAGCTCAGTTTCTCTCTTTCTCCAGACCCTCCTGCCTACCCCCCCCCCCCCCCCCAGGTAGGGACCCCTGAGGTTACTTCGGGCCCCACAGGTAATCCAGATGAGGTTACTCCCATCTCAAGGTTAGCCTGTCAGTAACCTTAATTCCTTCCGTAAACCAACTCCCCTTGGCTATGTGAGGTAACATTTCCCAGGTCCGGGGTTAGGACATGGACATCGTTAAGGGGCGTTGTTCTGCCGGCCATGGGGACAGGGAGCGGCCGGAGGGGCCTGTGGAGGGCTGGAAGGCCCAGCCCTCCGTTAAGAAAATGCACTGAGCTGTGCATGTCTGATGTGGGCCCTTTTCTCTGCGCAAATGAAGACACCTGTATTTAAAAAGTCTCTACAGTTCTGCCACCTGCCGTGGCTCAATGGTTGAGAGTCAACCTATGAACCAGGAGGTCATGGTTTGTGTCCCAGCCAGGGCACAGGCCCAGGTTGCAGGGTTGATCCCCAGTAGGGGGCATGTGGGAGGCAGCCAGTCAATTATTCTCACCATTGATGTTTCTATCTCTCTCCCTCTCCCTTCATCTCTGAAATTAATATATATATATATATATATATATATATATATATATACACACACACACACACACACACACACACACCCCGTATTTTTCGGACCATACGATGCTCCGGACCATAAGACGCACCAGTTTTTAGAGAAGGGAAATGAAGAAAAAAAGATTCTAAAACAAATAGTGTCCTAAAATATTTTATGTGCATTAAAACCCAACATCACAGTCATAAACACATGTAATCAACCCTGTAAAGTAAACAGCAGCATTTAGAACCATTTTAGAGCCGGGCAAGCACACAAAGACCACACAGAGCCGGGCAAGTAAAAAAACTTTTTTTTTAAAGTATATGTGTAGGCTATATTTGGACCATAAGACGCAGGGACTTTTTCCCCCCACTTTTGGGGGGGAAAAAGTGCGTCTTATGGTCCGAAAAATACGGGGTGTGTGTGTGTGTGTGTGTGTGTGTGTGTGTGTATATATATATATATATATATATATATACTTTTTTTTTTTTTTAAGTTTATAAATCTGATTTTAGGTCTGACATGGGGGTTTTCTCCCGGCACCAGCAAGCAATGTGACACCAAACAGGAGACAATGTCAGATCCCACAGGATACGGACGCTGTCCTGCCAGACTGCCCCCCCACCCTCACCGGCTTCTGCCTGACAAGGGCTGCAGATCAGGTTGCCGCCATCCCGTTCTCGGGTCCGAGGCATTTGCTAGAGCGGCCCACAGAACTCGGAGAGAGTCCACCTGCAGGGTCACTGTTTGTAAAGGATGCAGCTCAGGAGCAGCGGAGGGAAGAGAGGCAGGGGGCCAGGATGGGGAAAGGGCAGAGCTCCATGCCCCCTCCAGGCACCACTCCCCCCAAACCCCGTGTGCTCACACCTGGAAGCTCTCCGAACCGTCCTATCGTCTATGGAACCTTCACTGCACAGGCATGACCGATTAACTCACTGGCTATTGGTGACTCATTCAACCTTAGCCCCTTCCCCTCCCGGGAGGTCCTGGGAGGGACGGGCACATAGATGGGTCCCCGGACAACCAGTCCCATCCCTAGGTGACTAAGGGGCTTTCCAAAAAGTCACCTCATTAAGAAGAGAACTCTATCCATCTCAGTTCCCAGAGTCAGGAGCTCTGTGCCAGGGCCGGTGACAAAGCCAGATTTGTATTTATTATTATTAATCACAAGTGAAATACAGAAAAAAATAAAAATTCTTAAGAGTCTGAGGAAGTGGGCGAACCAGGATGGGTGAGAGGATTTTGGGGTAGTTGGGTTCAGTGTGGAGAGACAAGCTGGGTGTGTGTGTGCGTGTGTGTGCGCGTGTGTGTGTCAGATGTCCCCGTGGACACACAAAGGAGGCAGAGCTCCTCAGGCTGGGAAGGCCAGGCAGGACTCATGGGCGTGGGTGGGCCTGCACGTGTGTGTGAGGCGGGGTGTGTGTGGCTGAGGAGCACTCCCGGTCACAGGGAGGACCAGCCTTGGGCTTCAGCAAGGGAGGAGTAGTGACCGTGGCACTGGACACTGGTGGGGGAGGGGCGCTAGCCGGCAGCAGCCTGGAAAGCAATCAAGGATGTGAGGCACTGACGAGTTCATTTTTTTTTTTTTACTATTATTGTTATTTTTTAGAATTACCTCCCTGAAACTTGCATTTTATTTGTTATTATTTTTTTTTAATTTTTAATATATATTTTTTTATTTCAGAGAGGAAGGGAGAGGGAGAGGGAGAAACATCAAAGATGAGAATCACTGGTTGGCTGCCACCTATTGAGGATGGCACCTGGGCACGTGCCCTGACCGGGAATCGAACCGCGACTTCCTGGTTCATAGGTCGATGCTCAATCACGGAGCCACGCGGGCTGGGTGCAGTGACAGTTTCGACCAGAAGGCTCAGATAACCCAGAGAGGAGAGACAGATGGGAAGGCACGTACGTGCGAGGACGTCTGTCTGGTGGCTGATCTCTGGCAAAGGAGCCTCCTTCACTAACAGGAAAGGCTGGCTTGACTCCATGTACCCACCGGGGCCGAGGGCACCCGCCCATCCTGGACTTCCGGCCCCGCACACCCACCGAGGGCATCTCCCGCCTCTTCCCGGCGCTGTCACAGCATCCGATAAGGCACCCCACCAAGAGCAGATGGGAGTGGGCTTGGGGTCCAGGCCTCCAGCCCCATGTTCTTCCCCCACCCCAGGGTGCCAGCTGGGTCCGCTGAAGCCACGGTGCCATTGAGTCCTAATCTCAGCCGCTGCTGATGTGTGCAGCCTCAAAGTCCACCATTCATCGCCTGACCCTTTGCTCCCATCACAACACACTGTTTCACACACCCATGCTGCCCCGGCCTGGGAGGCCCAGATAATGTTTATTGCCCCCGGTCTGGGTGCTGAGGGCACAGAATGGCGGGGAGAGAGGGCAAGGTCTCTGCCCTTGCAGGTAGTTTAGTTGTCACTTCCTCCTGGAGGCACCGTCCGAATGCCCCAGCCTTGGCTCCACTTGAAGAACCCCCCAAGCCCTGCCTGGCTCCCTGTGGTGCTGGGAGCCGGCCAGGCAGTCCTTCCGAGGCGGGAGAGGTGGGAAGGACAATCAGCCTCAAACCCGTCCGCCCCCTCAGGTGAAGCAGGCCCAGCCCTTTCTGGCCCGAGTCTTCCGACAGGTATACCTACCCTGACTGCAGAGGTCTTGGCCCTGGCAGCCCTTCCTCCCTCTAACCCCAATGTCTGTCACCCCCCCCCCCCCCTACCCTCTTGATAAAGAAGAGACATCGGTTTGGGAAGAGAACAGGGTCCGGAGCCCAGCAAGGTGGCCAAGTCCCAGGTCCAATGCTCCCAGCCCAGGGGCCTCAATTGCTTCACTCACCCAGAGAGGCCGGGAGCCTGACACCCAGGGGGCCGGGAGCCTGACACCCAGGGGGGCCGGGAGCCTGTCACCCAGGGGGGCCGGGAGCCTGACACCCAGGGGGGCCGGGGGCCTGTCACCCAGGGGGGCCGGGAGCCTGACACCCAGGGGGGCCGGGAGCCTGACGCCCAGGGGGGCCGGGAGCCTGACACCCAGGGGGGCCGGGAGCCTGACGCCCAGGGGGGCAGGGAGCCTGACGCCCAGGGGGCCGGTGGGGCTCAGGGGCAGCGTGAACAAGCAGCTACAGCCAGCAAGGCCTGGATTTCTCTTTCTCTCCTGGTCCCCCACCACATGCCCTCTTCCCAAAGGACGAGAGGAAGTGGGGTTCTGGGGGCCCTGCTCCTCAGTCTTCACTTTCTCTTTTGGACACCTCCACAGGGACACTCTGCCTCCTAGGGCGTCCGCTACTCTGTCTGAGGACGAGTCCAGACCGGTCTCCTGCCTTACCACACACCCTGCTCGCTGGCACTGCCACACACGGCGCTCCTGTCTCACGCATTTCCTCAGGCTGCTGACCTGGCTGCGCTGTGCTTCTGTTTCCTCATCTGCACACTGAGTGACCACAGCCCCTTCCACACCAGGTGGCTGGAAAGATGCCAGGAGAGGAGTGGGCGCGACTGTCAGCAGCGGGGAGGGGCGGGCTGGGGAGTGTTCTGGAAAGGAGGCACTGGGCGTTCCGGGTGGTTCTTCCCCAACAGGCCCTGGCCTCAGAGCGGTACCGAATGAACTCAGGCTGGGCTCAGCCAGGCCGCAGAGGGGCCACTGGGAGAATGACCACGTGGGCGGCTGGGCCAGCCTGAGCCTTCATCCCCATCACCATCAGTCCGGCTGCATTGTGAAGCCTCGTTGGCCTTATTCCCAGCCCTGCCTCTGCCACCTGGAGCTCAACTCT